TGGAGATCTAATGGAATTGCCGCAACCAACAATTTGTAGAATTATATTTCGAGTAACTATCATATTAGCATCTTATCTAAATGTTTACGTCAAATTTGTGACAAATCAAGCAGCTATACAAGAAAACCGAAGATTGTTTAAACAATTAGGATACGGATATGCAGGTATTGGACTTCCTTGTATTGATGGTGCAATAGATTGCACTCATATCAGATTACACAGTAATAACTTTGGACGATTAGCTGAAATGTATAGAAATAGAAAGGAATATTTTTCTTTGAACGTGCAGGTAAATTAATGAAAACTATTTATTATTTTATTTATTTTTGTTTTTTATAGTGTTATTTATGTATATATGTGTTATAAGGCCACTGTAGGACCACAAATGGAAATTTTGGACCTTGTCCCAGAATGGCCAAGAAGTCAGCATGACAGCAGAATTTTCCAAAATTCTAGAATTTTCATGAGATATCAACAACGTGAACTTACAGGAACGTTAGTTGGAGATTCTGGATATCCTTCTCTTGCATTTCTTCTGACGCCATTTAGAAATCCACAAAACGAAGAAGAAGAGAGGTAAAAGAAGTAAAATAAATTTTTAAGTTTTTAATTCTTTCCACAGTCCTCATGATTAATGACGTCAAAGAAATAAAGAACTATTAGAAATCTTATAATCTTTTGTTAAATAAATAAAATAAAATTTATCTTATTTATTACTAAAAAAATTTTATTGCAGATATAATGAAATTCATTCAAGAACGCGAATAGTTGTTGAGCGAACATTTGGAGTATGGAAGAGAAGATTTCCTTGTCTATCTAAAGGTTTAGCTTTAAAACTTGTAACGTGTACTGGAGTTATTTCAGCTTGTGCTGTTTTACATAATTTATCACTACGATTTAAAGATGTTCTTCCTGAGAAAGAAGAACCCGATGATGTAATAATTGAAAATAATGAAGAACTCTATTACAATGAACCTCAGCCTGGAGATGGTTTTATTGTAAGACAAAACATAGTTCGAGAATTATTTCATTAATTTTAATGTAATAATATTAATTTTTAATTTATATTTCTGTATTTACACAGTTTTTACATTTTTATATAATCTAATTAATTACATTATTCAAATGTTATATTAGATTGTATTTGTTTATTTCAAAATTTCTTTAAATGTCTTGATAGCATTACTTATAACCAGGATGTTATTGAAAAGTCAAAGATCCATTACTGATGATTTCTAAATAAATTTTGATAATAAATATATTT